CATACAAGGAAGGCAAAGCACCCGTACACATCGAAAGGTGGGGACAAGAGCTGAGCTGAGCTGTGTGACAAACACCTTTAATCCCAGCACTAGGTAGGCAGAGTCAGGCAGATCTCCGTGAGTTTGAGCCTGTCCTGATCTACAGTGAGTTCCAAGCCTGTTGGGTATATATAATGAGACTGTCTCAAACCAAACTAAACCACAAAAAGCAAGAGAAGAATCTTAGGCATCCTGTGTGTGAGCATCCCCAAAAGGACCAACTAAAGACAGACGCACTATGGAACTCTACAGGATGCAAGGTTCCACCTCGATCCAGGGAAGAAAAAGCCAAGGGTTACATGGAGCGCTCCCATCCTGAGACCACAGATCTGCAGTCTTTTCTTGTAAGAGTTTAGTATAATGAGATGGCTCAACAGGTAACAGTACTTGTTACCTACAGTACTGACAAGCTGAGCTCAACCCCTTCAAACCCACTTGGTAGAAGAAAACCAATTCCCAAAAGTTGTCCTCTGGCCTCTACACAAATGCTGTGGCACATTAAGACCACCATTACACACACACACACACACACACACACACACACACACACACACACACACACACACACACACACACATTAAAATAATAATCTACACTGGGTCTGAAGATGAACACCTACAATTCCAACACTAGGGAAGGGAGACAGGAGAGTTGCAGCAGTCTCAGGCTTATACAGTGAAACTCTGTCTTCAACAAAAAAGTTTTAGCCTAGAAAAGCTGACAGGATAAAAATCTACTATCCTCCTTGGATTACTCCAGAGGAAGGACACAGGGAATAAAGATTGAAAGCAAAAACAGCAGAGTAGGTAGTGCATGCCTGTGATCTGAGTACTCAGGAGGCGGGGCAGGAGGCCGGACAAGAACAGCATGAACTACCGAGACAGACACTGCATCAAAACAAACAAACAAATAAATGGAAAACCCTTGTACCTACAGATCAGAGGCAGCAAAGACAGCAGGAGACTCACCCACTAGAGAGAATTTGGTGTCCAAGAGCAAGAAGCTGAAGTTCTAGTTGAACCAACACAAGGCCTGTGTAAAGTAGGTGAGCAACAGAGTTGCTGAATATTGAGAAACAGAGGGAGACAAATGAGCAGATATGCAAACTGAACCTCATTTATCACTGACTTCAAATAACCAGAATCAGATGGCTAAAAAGAAAGCTCAGGTTTCCTAAGCCTAGTTTCAGCATCCAACAAAGACAAGGCCCAAGCTGCCCCATGCACTCACTGGTTTTGTGTTGGAATTCATATGCCAGACAAGTACTCTATCACTGAGCTTTCCAAGCACAGGTTCTCACCACATAGTCCAAGGTTGGTCTTAGTATCCCATTCTCCTGCCTCGGCCTCCTGAGCGTTGAGGTTACAAGTGTGCACCATATGCCCAGCGGCCCTCATCCTTAAAACCTTTATCTGATCCCCCAGGGGAATCGAGGGAACCAGACACAGGTTATGAATGAGCCCCCAGGAAGGGCACACACATAGCCATTGTCCTGGTTCTGTAGGAGAGCCCACAGGCTGTTTTCAACACATCTGACAGAAGACAGAGGTCAGTCCTCTCGAGAGCTGTCAAAATTCCTTGCCTCAGGACCAGAAAGACAGCTCAGTAGGTACAAGTGCTTTCCAAGCAAGCCAGAGCGTCATCTTCAGAACTCACACTGGAAAAAGAGGAGCAACTCGGCTGTCCTGGAACTCACAGTGATCCACCTGCCTCTGCCTCTCGAGTGCACCACTACACCCAGCCCTGAATTGTAGTTTTCAATAAACCCTTTACGTTTTTAATGAGAAGAAAATTTACTTCAAAACAATCAACTAGGATCTAGTAAGATGGCTCAGCAGGCAATAAATAGCATTTGCCACACAAGACTGACACCTGAGTTTAATCCCCAGAGCTCACAGGGGAAGGAGAAATACAACTTCCTAAAACTGACCTCTGTATGTATAGAGTCCATGTATTGCTGAAGCAGATGCCCCCTCCCCGTCTCTTTCTCTCTCTCACTCACTCACACACACTGAGCAAATAAAAAATAAATCCATTTTTTGAGACAAGGTCTCATTGAGCCCAGGCTGGCTCCAAATGTACTGTGAGCTAAGGACGACCTTGAACTTTCAATTCTCTTGCTTCTACCTCCCCAGTGCTAGGGTTACAGTGCACACCAGCTGTCCTGTTTAATGTAGGCTTCATGTGTCACAAGGAAGCATCCTACTAGCTGAGCTACACACTCAGCCCCAGTGATCACTTAGTTCTGGAAAACAAAATAAAACTATCTGCCTCCAGCATCTTGTGCCAGCACAGAACCCAGAAAACAACCCTTAAGGAATTTTGTACAAAATTTACAAGCAAGCTGGGTGGTGATGGCACACGCCTTTAATCCCAGCAACAGGAAGAGGCAGGAGGATCTCTGAGTTCAAGGCCAGCCTGCCTACTACTGAATTCCAGGACAGTCAGAGCTACATGGTGATGCCCAGTCTTGCGGGGGGAGGGGGAGGGTGGATATGGATGATTACAATGAGTTAAAAACAAACGTAACTTTATCATCATATTCCTCAGAAACCATCCCTAAGCTCCCACCCTTCTCCTCTCCGGCTCCCAGACAGGCAGTGCTGCACCAAATTATACACAACTTTGTGCTGCTTCCTAAAATTGCATACAGTACTCCCTTTTTGCTAATTGTTTCATGTACACAAATGACTTTTCTTCCCCAAATAAAATACACGAATTACTTAAAAACAAGGCCTGTTTGATTCTGTAATTGTCTGTTCTCCAGAGCTGCAGTTTAGCACTCAGGGAGCAGCCACCACGCTGGGCCTGAAGAGCCTCCCTCCCTCCCTCCCAGCTGCAGGAGCGAGCACTGACCACTTCCAAGCCACAGCCCTGTGCACTGAGCTGCGGCCTGAGCTGCCTACTCCTCCGTCACCAGTCCACAGCAGCCAGGCGCTCTCTTGCTACTCAACCCGCGCCCGTGGCCTGCCCCAAAAGCCAGCCCTCCGTAGGCTCCTCTGCCTGATACCCTCCTGCCATCACTCCCAAGAGGAAGGAGTTGTTCACATAAGACCATACAGCTCGGCTGGTGCCCTCATTTAATCAGGCTGCTGCAAATGGCTGACCAAAAGCAATAAGGGCATGACTGAGAGACTGTGGGAGTTTAATATAAAAAAATTAATAAAAAAGGGGGGGAAGGAAAAAGGGTCTACCTTTTAATAGGGCCCTAATTACCCAACTCACAGGATCAGCCCAAATGAGATGGGAGTTTATTTCGGGTTTTTTTTAATTATTGTTTTTTTTATATATATATAAATTGCTGCTATGTGTTTTCTTTCCTCTGAGCAATTATGCAGTAAGTACGTAAAGAGGAGAAAAAATATTAATTAAATATAAGGTAATTGTAGAGTTGGCCTGGAGAGAATGAGTCTGAACTCTGGGCGATCACAGGCTACCAGGGTTTGAAGGCTGCTCAGGGGCTCCCAGAAAAGAAAGAAATAACATAACTAACCAATAGGCAGATGCACAGCGCAGCGGAGGGGACCACATGCAGAACCTGCACAGCACAGGCCCGAGGGGCTCCCACGTCCAGGGTTAGCCAGTGTTAGACACTGTGGCCCCAAAGACGGCCTGTCCTCACTCTTTAGGATGGAGCGCCAAATCAGGACGTTTCAATGAGCCCGTAGCAGTAAGGGATAAAAAAGACCACTGTGTTCAGTTTGGACTTCAATCTGAAAAGCTTGAAAGAAGACCACAGAGGACACACGGACGGACGGACGGACGCTGGCAGAGTGAAGCATCCTAAGAGGAGCCAGGCAACAGGAGAGAGTGAAGAGAGAGGTACTACAGGAATGCTAATGAGCCCGCAACTGGTGACAAAAGGTGACATGAATAACAACATCACTCCCCTGGAAAAGTCTCAGAGGTGCTTGTGGCCTCTGGGCCTATCTGCATCACAGCCAGATCCATCTCACCCTCTGCCTAGAAAGCCTCAGAACATGCTAGAACCTGGACCTGTTCTCAGCCAAGGACTTCACATCATCCCCTCCAACTCGGCCCAGAGAAGAGTGAAGGAACTGTATCCTGCTCTACACAGGCTGCTGAGACAAAGCCTGGCGGTGTGCCCCATGCGTACTAGTCACCACCACTCCAAGGGAGGAAAGGCTTGGCAAAGTTAAACCAAATGCTGGCACACCCCTAAAACTGATCTGGTTTGCACAGAACCGGTCTTACTACCCAGCCCACAGGATTTACATCAGTCCCAAAATGCCAAACAGTGAAAACAGTGCAGGTGGGCAGGGACTCTGACTCTGACCACTAAAGCAAAAACACTCTGCGAAGAGAGTTACTTAGCCCTCTAGTTCCAGCACTTGGGAGGCTTTGGCAGAAGAATTGTTGTGAGCTTGAGGCCGGCCTAGGCTACTTAGTGAGTTCAAGGATAGACTGGGCAACACTCCTTGTTTAAAAAAAGAAGAAGGAGAAAAAGAAAAGGCCTCATTCCTATGCGTCTAGGACACTACAGGAGATCGCTATCACAAACTGAGTTACTGGCCTGACCAAGCCAGAGCCCCTCCTCTTACCTGTCCCTTACAGAGCTCCCCCCCTCTTTTGTCCCTTACAGCACACCTCAGGCGCTTCACTGAGAAGCAAAAATGGTTGTTTCCGTTCCCAACAACCAGAAGCTGACAAGCGCAATTTTAGGCTACCAAGGGCAGCAAGCAGAATGCTGTGTGGCTGCGGGCGTGGCTGCGGGGGCAGGCGCTCTCAGTTCCAGAGAAAGACCAAAGAGGTCTTGCTAATCCCTTCTGCTAAACAGAAGCCAGAGGCCAGAGGTCAGGGCGAGGCATCTCTGGGGAACACGCACTGGGATGCGGCTGATGGGCTCACGTAAGGTGTCATAGCCACGGGTCCATCAGGCTTCTTTACAGTCCCACCGGATCCAAGGACCAGAAAAGGGTTCTGCGAGCCTTCGTACTTACCAATGGCTCTCGAGGCACCACATTTTCACCTCCTGGAGACGAGCTTGGCTGCAAAGAAAAACAGAAACAAAACTAAGGTCACAGCGCCACCCAATGGACATCAGAAAAACAAAGGTGTGCTGCTTCCCAACGGTGCACCCAAGTCTTTCTCTGCTCTTCATGGGCTGCTTTGACAAAATGTGCCAGGAAACACAGGCTGTTTGTGGGTTCACTGCCATGGCCCCTCACAAACAGGGCTTGTTTTTGCTCGGGAGAACTGTAAGCAGGAGGGATAGGGGCCATGACAAAAAAGACCAGAGAAAGGCTAAGCAGAGACCTGCATTTCTTTTTACCACCTTCCCGGCTAGAGTGCACTAAGAGCAGAAAGAAAGTGCAGAACAACAGGCAGCCACAGGGGGGCATCAGCTACCCACACTAGGGGTTCTCACCTGGAGACAAGTGCTGCTTTCTTTGAGTTTTTTATGTCTGTGTCAGTCTCCATGTAGCCAAAGCTGATCTCAAACTCACTGTGTAACTGAGTGTAACCTTGAACTCCTGATCCTCTTGCCTTAACCTCCCAAGTGCTGGGATCTAAGGGATGTACCACAAACATACCACCAGCAGCTACAACACTGGTTGTACTGCCCTCACAAAGAACCCTACTTCAGGAAAATCTAGTGACAGTCTGAGAGATAAACAGACCAACCTATGAGCAAGCAGACAGCACTGTGCCCAGATGAGCAGCTCCCTCTACTTCCACAGCCTCTCTCTCCCACATCCAACCCATTACTGCACTAGCCAAAGCACAGAGCAGGGCTGTGGGGACAAAGCAAGACGTAAATCCCAGGAAGGACGCTACCAACAGGCTGTCTGAATGAGTTGTAGTTAGCTTACTGTTACCGATGGTACAGCCAATTGCCAATGTTCTACAGATGTCCAGACAAGTGCAGTTAATGTGTGTCCTAGAAGCTGGCCTCTATCCTCTCCCGGCTAGTTCAGACAGCCTGTACCAGGCCTCCTATGAAAAGGGCAGAAGCGCCAGGTGTTGGTGGTGCACGCCTTTAATCCCAGCACTTGGGAGGCAGAGGCAGGCGGATCTCTGTGAGTTTGAGGCCGGGCTGGTCTACAGAGCGAGTATTAGGATAGGCTCCAAAGACACAAGAGAAACCCTGTCTCGAAAAACAAAAATAGAAAAAAGAAGAAAAAGGGCAGAAGCTACGAGAAGAAAGGGTCTGTCACACTTCAGAGCTGTCTGACACCACACAGAAAGCACCTGACACAGTGTTGTCAAGGCCTCTGCTGGATGAAGGACCGTATTCTTCTCTCCATCCAGAGTCCTGTCTTAAGCGCTCCACCCTCTCAAGACCAGAAGGCCAGGCAGCTTGAAGCTATAGTTGGGGGTCAGTCCTCATACCTGAGTGACCTTTCTCTTCCCCCCTGCCATCCTCCCAGGCATCAAAAGCTCACACATTTAGATCTCTGGGTCAGATCTCTAACCTCCTTCCTGCCCCTCTTTCAAGTCTAACAGACTCCCCTGACTCCACCATGGACGCTCTCCTCCAGTACTGCTGGAAGGCCTTCTTCAAGAGCTCCCTCTCCCTTACTCCCCAAAGGTACCCATGATCTCCTCCCACAAATCTTCCCTTCTAAGCAGCCATGGAATCAACCCTCTGCTTCTATTTATCTCTACTGCCATCACTTTAGTCCAAGCTTCCAGAACACTTGCCTGGACCACTGCAAGTGCTTTCTAATCAGCCTACCTGGACTCACGCTGGCTCTCTTCCAAGTCACTTTCCACAACACAAAAAGCAAATCATGTGTAAAGGAAAACTCTTCATCTCCCGTACTTTCTTGTCTACCCTATAAGCAACACCACCAATAGCTTCTCCATGTTCTCAGAAGACAGGAAAAGCTCCTCGGTGCCGTCTTGGAAGCCTCACATCTACCCTAACCACATGTCAGGTCCCACGTGGTGCCAAGCTCCGCCACAACAGCCACCAGCTTCTGATTTCTTTCAAGGGCTGTGCCCAGGCTGTGCCATCCTCTCCTCAGAGTGGCTAGAGCACTTCCCCCAGGGCAAATCCCTTCTAAGGCAGCCTTGATTAGGTCAGGTCTCCCTGCTACACACTCATGACACCAAGAAAAGAAGCTGAGGGGCCGGAGGGAAGCTCAGTTGTTAAGAACACTGGCTGCTCTTGCAGAGGACCCAGGTTCAGTTCCCAGCACCCACATGGCGTCTCACAACCACCTGTAGCTCCAGTTGCAGGGGATTCAATGTCCTCTTCTGGCCTCTGAGGTCACCATGGACACATGGAATTCACAGGCACATGCTCATTCACAAATAAATAAATAAATTTAACTTTTTTTTTGAGACTAGGTTTGTCTATTTAGCCAATAGCCCTGGCTGTTCTGGAACTAGTTCTTTTTTTTTTTTTTTTTTTTTTTTTTTTTGGTTTTCCCAGACAGGGTTTCTCTGTAGCTTTGGAGGCTGTCCTGGAACTCACTTTGTAGACCAGGCTGGCCTCGAACTCACAGAGATCCGCCTGCCTCTGCCTCCCGAGTGCTGGGATTAAAGGCGTGTACCACCAACGCCCAGCCCTGGAACTAGTTCTATAAACCAGACTGGTCTCAAACTCAGAAATCTACCTGCCTTTGCATGGCATTAAAGGTGTGTACCGCCAAGCCTGGCTAAAACACTTTTTTAAATAAAAAAAAAAAAAACTGGCTGTGCTAGCAAAGTTTATAGTCCCAGCACTCAGAAGAGTTTATGGATTAAAGGGCAACCTGCCTTACAGCATGGCACCCGGTCTCAGAAAGAAAAGGGGGAAGGAATAGGAAACAAAGGGGGTGAGGGAGGAGTCAAGGAAAGAGTCCGGAAGAAACGGGACAGGTGAGGGGGAGGGGAGAAGAGAGGAGAAGAGAAGACAAAGGGACCAGGGTGAAGTTCACTGGGAAGCTCTCGCCCTGGGGCCAACAGAGCAGCTGCTCTCACTCACTCGCTCACTGACTCACTGACTCACTCACTCACAGTGGATTGCGTACTCAAGTTCATCATCTCCTGAATGCTTCAATGATAGCTACTCTGAGTGCGAATACTCACTCAGCTCTTTCTTCACTTAATTCTCACACTAGGTATACAGAATTATTGCTGATGAAGACACGAAAACAAAGGAGGTCACATAACTCAGCAAGCAGTAGTATCACTGGGATTTGCACATGTCTAACTAAATGAAATAATCAAATTTTGTTTCAATCATATTCTATTACGCAGCAGCCTTAATTTAATGCTACCCCATAAGTAATAATGTAGTCTATTTAACCAGACAAAACAAACACCAGTGATATGGTTCAGCAAATAAGGGCATTTGCTACCCTGCCTGAAGACCTGAGTTCAGCCTGCAGAACCCACAATGGAGAGAACAAACCCCACAAACTGTCCTTTCGCCTCCATGAACATGCGTGTGAGCTCAGGAGTATGCACACATATACATACAGACATGTTTGAAATGAACACAACTTTAGTACTCAAGAAGTGTCTTTTTTTGTTGTTGTTGTTTTTTGTTTTTGAAACAGGGTTCTCTGTATAACCCTGGCTGTCCTGGAACTCACTCTGTAGACCAGGCTGGCTTCAAACTAACTGGCTTCAAACTCACCGAAATCGTCCCAAATGCTGGGATTAAAGGTGTGTGCTGCCACCACCTGCGGCTACCCCTCCCCCTTTAGCTTTTTTTCGAGATAGGGTCTCACTATGTAGACCAGGCAGACCTGAAACTCATGATGACCCTCTGGCGTCTGCCAAATACTGGGATTATAGGTGTAGATTATGCCTCTCCTAAAATCCTTTACTTAAACAATTAAATAAAAGAACTACTTGGTCTACAAAAGCCCAAAGGAAGCAAGCAACAACCAGGGCTATATCGTTCCCTGAAACATATATGAATGTGAGCCTTCATTTAATGCTGTGACCCAATAGTTATCTGCTATGGAACAGTATCACTCCCAAGAGATATTCAGACACATGTGAAGGTCTTTCTGACTTTAGGGAAAAGCAGTCAGTACAGAACTATTCTACCCCAAACACCCTCGGAACCCTTGGGGAATCCTGACCACTCTTCACCTCTTCACACAGGCAGGCAGCCTCCCATCTTAACTCCAACTCCAGGCACCACTCGGAAGATGAGCAAAGAGTCGGGCAGTTCACTGCCCGCCCAAGCTGAACCATCCCAGACAGTCTGCTGGTCACCTAGCCCAGCCTTTGCAAAACGTCTAATGTTTAATACCCGCCCCTAGATCTACCTCTTCAAGCTGAACCATCCCAGGCAGTCTGCTGGTCACCTAGCCCAGCCTTTGCAAAACGTCTAATGTTTAATACCCGCCCCTAGATCTACCTCTTCAAGCTGAACCATCCCAGACAGTCTGCTGGTCACCTAGCCCAGCCTTTGCAAAACGTCTAATGTTTAATACCTGCCCCCAGATCTACCTCTTCAAGTGATATCTGCCCTGAAAAAGATCCCTCAAACTAAATTCTAACTTGACTCTGGAATTCTTCAAAAGATTCACAGCTGGCAGGGCGGTAGTGGAGCACACCTTTAATCGCAGCCCTCGGGAGGCAGAGACTAGTGGGTCTCTGTAAAATCAAAGCCAACCTACTCTACAGATCGAGTCTCATGAGAGGTCAGAATGGGGAAGTCAGGACTTGAAGAGAGCAAAAGATTAAGAATGTTTTAAAAAAATACAAAGTTGAGGTCAGTGAGATGGCATAGTAGACACTTGTCACCAAGCCCGATAACCCAGGTAAAAATGCTTACTGACAAGCCTGGAGACCTGAGACCCATAGACCCACATGGTAGAGGGAGGGAATAATCTCCAGCAAGTTGTACACACACAACATACATATATACAGGCACACATACACGCGCGCGCACACACACACACACACACAACTTAAAAATAGTTGGGCAGTGGTGGTACACGCCTTTAATTCCAGCACTCAGGAGACAGAGGCAGGCAGACCTCCGTGAATTTGAGGCCAGCCTAATCTACAGAGTGAGTTCCTGGACAGGCTCCAA